GAAAGTGATGAGTGTTTCATTTCGTTGGGAGAGGGAAGAAACATGTTAGTCCCATTCTCTTTACTATTTTTTGGGTGGTGTGGAAAGAGAGAAACAAAAAGAACTTTTAGGGAAGGAGGAGGGCGGAGTGGGAGTGGGGAGGGGGGAAAGAGATGACTATTTCCTTAGGGTGAGAGATAAATGGTTTCAAACCCTTAATTTTTTATTAATGGGACATCCTCTTTATTCAATGAAGGATTTAGGAGACCTTATTGATATTTTGATTAACATGTAAATACTTTTGTACATGGGGGACACCGTCTCAGTGCTTGTGAATGAATTATGCCACATAACACGCACCACTAGGGAGAAAGCATGAATCCGCTTGCGAGCTTGGAATAAATAATTAGTATTAGAAATTAACCTATCCAAAATTGTTGTTTAAACAAAAACCTTAACCTTAGATGGAACATAAACTTTCCAAAAACATTGGGTGACCATCATGCTTCATAATCGATAGGTCTCCCCTGTTTCTTCTAATATTTTAATTCATCTTGCTGGTTTATGCCTGAAGGTGTTACCTAGAACAATATCAGATCATTTCCCCATTTACATTGTATCTGAAGGAATCCAATGGGGTCCAACTCCTTTCTAGCTAGACAATAAATGGTTGACAGTTAGCAATTTCAGAGACATGGTGAAGTGTGGGAAAATACTAAGAGTGCAAAGAAAAACAAGTTTTAGGGTTGTGTCCAAATTGAAAACCTTGAAGACGGAGATCAATAAGTGGGCGAAGATATAAGGTCTAGCGGAAGAGCAAAAAACTACTAATCTTATTCATGTACTCGAGATTTTACCTGTAAAAGGGTTCCTGTTTTTGTATATTTTGTACATATTCGAAAAGTTTTGTTTTATTTTGTTAAATTCTAAATTTTTACCTCATGTTTTATATATATAGTTACTGTATATATTACATGAGATGCTAAATTGTATTATATTTTTTATGTATGCATATATATATTTTGTGGGCCCATTGCATGAAATGACATGAGTAGGAATTACGCATTATAACTAGTATTGGGGTGTTATATTGTATAACTTATTGAACCTAAAATTTAGAGGTTGATGTGGTAGGTGATATGGATAAGAAAATTGATTTTTATGATGTGTTGGTGGTTCGAGAGTATCCAGATGTATTTCCCAACGAATTTCTAGGGTTACTTCCGGACCGTGAAATAGAATTTTCTATCAATTTACAAATAGACACCCAACCAATCTCTATTGCTCCTTACAGACTGGTAAGAGCTGAAATGGAAGAATTAAAGAAGCAATTAACAGAGTTTCGAGAAAAATGGTTCATTCGTCCTAGTGTTTCTACTTGAGGTGCTCCCGTAACATTTGCCAATAAGAATGACGGAACTAAGCGAATGGTATTGATTATAGAGAACTTAACCGGGTCACCATAAAAAACAAATACTTTTTGCCCAGGATTGATGATATTTTTTATCAATTGCAAATAGGATGGAAGGCGAGATTGGTTTGTCACAGGAAGATAGTGAGAGGGTGCATTGTTTGCATGTAGAGATTGCTAATAGGTTATAGATGGAGGTGTCATGGAGGTAGAAGGTAAGAGAAGTGGATTAAGGAAAGAGACAAGAATACAAAGTCTTTCATTGTCTAGCGAGCCATAGAAGAAGACAAAATTATGTAGAAGAATTAATTATAGAAGAGAGAAGCAAACAGTGTAATGAGAATCTCAGGGAAGAGGGCAAAAACTGTATGAAGAAGAGTTCAGTAGAACAACAGAGGCTTGATAGGATTCGGTTTCAAGGGTTAGAGGAAGCCAACAAGATTGATATTGAGAAGGAATTTTTTGAAGATGAGGTTTTAAAAGGCCTTAAGGAGTGTAACGGCGAGAAAGCTCCGAGACCCGATGGCAGAGACTTTTGTAAAACTGTTGAACTCCACCTTCATTGTCCTTATTGCAAACATTGCAGTAGCAAAGAACATCAAAGAGTTCAGACCTATTAGTTTAGTGGGCTGCATTTACAAGTTGATCGTGAAAGTATTGACTAAGAGAATAACCAAGGTATTGAGTTAGGTTATAGGAGGTTGCCAACATGCTTTCGTGGAGGGGAGATAGATTCTGGATGCAGTTATGATGGTGAATGAAGGCTTATCTTCTTTATTCAGGTCAACTAGGGGTTTGAGACAAGGCGACCCATTATTCCCTTTGTTGTTTATTGTTGTTATGGAGGCCTTGTGTAAGCTGATTGAGAAGGCTAAGGAGGTGGATTTGTTGAGAGGCATTCAAGTGGCGAGAGAAGGTAATCAGATTGAGATATCACATTTGTTCTTTGCGGATGACACTTTTATTTTCAGTCAGCAAAAAGTGATAATGATGATGTTAGATGTGTTTTATTATGCTTTCAGGCCATCTCTGAGTTAAATATTAATTTATCTAAATCCAAGATGGTGGTCCTCTGAGACATGTTAAATGATAATAGACTTGTTGGGGTGTTCGGGTGCAAAATAGCAAAGTTGCCCATTAAATATCTCAATAGTCCCATGTGATCAAAACATAAGGATGGGAGAATCTAGGAACCAGTGATTAATATGTTCGAGAAAAGATTGGCGATGTGGAAAAGAAATTTGTTGTCAAAGTGGGGTAGACTTACGCCCATCAAAAGCACTCTTTCAAACCCTTCCATTTGCTACTTGTCTTTATTAACTGTGCCTGTGAAGGTGGCCAAGAGGCTTGAATTTATCCAGTGCATTTTATATATGGCGACGACGAGGGTAAAAGAAGATATCACTTGGTGAAATAGAGTGAAGTTACCTTATGAGAAGGGGGGTTTAGGAGTGAGGTCTATAATTGAGATGAATATGGCACTCTAAAGAAAATGGCTTTGGAGATACCGAAACGAAGAGAATTGTCTATGGAGGAGGGTGGTAGAGGTAGACGGGGTTCTTGGAGGGGGAAGAGGATGGCAAGGGAGTTGGGGAGACTATATGGCCTGGGCTGTGGAAGAACATTTGGGTGACAAGTCATTTTCCTCAAAAGTGTGTCACATGGAAAGGAGGCAGAGGAAAGAAAGTTCTCTTTGGGCATGTCCTTTGGTTGGAGGAGGGTAGGCTGAAGGATCCATGGCCACAGATCTTTACCATTGCTCAGACCAAGTCTACGATGATCATGGATGCCTA